TTACCGACACTCAGCACTGACTGAGGGGCAGAGGCTAAGCCCCATGCCTGGTCTGGGCCACTTTCTCAGGGTCACCAAGAGGGGCAGATCGGGGCAGACACGGGGTGCTAGGCTTCTGGGCAGAGCTCCCAAGATGAAGGCTCCACCCGCACCCAGTTGCCCCCAGAGCATGGCCTTCTGGGGGATTTCATCTTTACGTATTTGAATAGTTTCCTTTAAAACTAACAAACCACTGTTTAAATGGGAGGCTTTAAACATGTATAAAAGGCATAGAAAACTTCTGTCCCTGCAGGGACCCGTCACCAGTACCACGAACCCACACGCGTACGTGGCCTCCCATGTGTCCAGGACTCACCCACCAGACCCCTCCCAACGAGACTGTTCAAACAGATCCCAGACGTCCGCGCAAGTCCTCGATGCCTGTTTAATTCACGTGTGGTGAAGGGCTCCCCCGAGCTGGGCCCCGTGGGTATTGCCCATCGTGCCTGCCTGATTCGTGCCGGGAGAACAGGTCTGTGTCTGCACGCAGCACTCAGGAACCGAAAAGCCTTCTGCTTTCTGGAAACGGTACTACTCATCCATTCACAGGGTGTCTTTAAGTGCCTACCATGTGCCAGGCACAATGCCAGGCGCTGGGGTATAGCAGGGGGCCGAGCGTGGCCCAGGACTGGCCGCCCCCTGCGCCGGTCACTGCTGAGGGACGACCCGAGCCCCTCCGAGGAGCGCGGTGTGAGAGACACGTGTTCCTCACTCCTGAACGGGCCAGTGTGGGTTTGGACTCAGAGTCGGGGTGGGTGTGAGCGTTCACCTTGAGCTCAGTGTTCCGGAGCTGGGACCGTCCCCATCAGCTTCCCATACGCCCCTGCCGTGCCGTGCGGCTGGGTTGGCCTGACCTGTGTCCGTGTCGGGGCCGGGTGCTCCGCGAGGGGTTGGGTCTAGTTCTCGGGCGCCCACGGGGCTGTCCTCTCCCTCCTGTGTGTGTCTGTACGTGTCAATGAGACCACAGCACACAGGACACTGCCTGCTCTGTTCCCCTGGGCCCCTCTGCCACAGACCGCGTTCCAGGTTAACAAAGTGCCCGCCATTCTAACCTGCACAGATGTCACCCTTTCCTTAACCTGTCCTCCGCGGCTCCGCAGTGACCGTCCGCGTGTCCACCTTTTCCCACCTGTGTGTCACATCTTTCCAGGTGTAAACCCCTAGAAATAGGATTGCTGGGCCAAAAAGCATGCACGGCTTAACTTCTGATGCACGTTGGGAAACTCCCTCTAGAAATCGTCGCTAACTTAACAGGCACCCCGCCAAGCCCCCAGAAGTCTCCTTGTGTTTCTGCCCGGTCCTCCATTCCTCCTCTGAGATTCTCCCCAGCCGGAGGCCAGCGTGGACAGGGCTCTTAAGCTACAACCTTTTGGGCCTTGGTTTCTCAACTTTGAGGTGAGGGAGGTCAGTGGGGACCTTCCAGGCCCTTCACTGTCTGAGTCCCCAGGGCGCCGAGCCCCAGGAGCCCACTGTGGCCCCAAGAAGACTCTGGCCCTGAGGCTCCACCCTCCCTGGAGTGCAGTCTGGTTCCCACGCAAGACCCGACGATTGGAGAAACGGGGCAGAAATGACCCCTCCCCCCAAACAACGGGGCCTTAATGGGCCCAGGGTGCCACTGGTCAGCAAGTGAGTTACCCAGTGGGCCCCCACCCCGCCAAGGACAAGCCCGTTCCAGCCCACAGCACGCTCCTGACATCAGATCCAAGCTCAGACGCTGGGCTTCGCGTCCGGAAGGTACGGGCCATGGGTTCGCGCCAGTGGCTTTGTCGTGACCACCTGATGGGCATCGAGAGTAGGCCCACACACCCTTCACGAGACCGCCAGTGGGGTGGGCATCTCCTGTGAGTCCCCTCCAGACCCCGCAGCAGCCGTGAGGCAGCTGTCGCAGAGGAGGATACTGAGGTTCAGGGGGGCCCACAGCTGGCGAGCAGAGTCCGCTGGACCACAGGCCTCTCAGCTCACACTGACTTAAGAAGGGAGTCGGGGAGCCGAGAGCTGAGTTTTCTGGGGTTTATGCTGTATCATGAGCCCACCTGGACTCCTGCCTTGGAGGCCAGCCCACCATCTGCCCAGTTTTTGGGTGAAGAGGCCGAGTTCAGAGTCTGAACACTGTTTGGGGCAGAACCGGGGTAGGAGAGCGGCAAGGAGAGCTCTTGGCAGCTCAGCCGGCTTGTCTCATAGGCGGTGCTGGGGGCTGGCATCTCCCAGATGCCGGGACCCCAGGACTTGACGGGCACTGTGCTTGTGGGGCGGGCGAGCCAGGCTTCCCCTTAGGAGGCCGGGCAGCCGCAGCCGTGAGCAGCTGTTCCGTTCGGGGTCCTCAGCCCGAGCACTTTGCAGACGCTGAGAGGGTCCGTTTCTGCCCTCGGGAGGCTGCAGCGGCCACTTGGAAGGCTGTGCTGTGGGTCGGCGGCGACCTAGGGGCCTGGACCCCACATGGGGACTCTGCCAGCTGACCCCAGAAAAGGAGCTTCTGTGTGCACGTGTGGAGATCACCCCCATGTCCATCCAGTAAACTGGCTCTGAGGGCCAACGTGTGACACTCCCACGATGGCCGGGTGTGGCCCAAATCCCCTGCTTTCCCCAGGGCCTGCGGGGGCCTGTCTCCCTCACCCCCACCCACCCCTCTGCTCCAGCCACACTGGCCCTGGCGTCCCGGGCCCTCCGCCCCCCGCCACACTCCCCGTTTGGGTCTCGGCAGGTGCGACCTCCTCACGGGCCGGCCTGGACTCTGAAACGCGTCCTTATTTGTGTAGTGTCCGTCGCGGCTGCTGGAACGGACCTCGTGGGGCAGCGCCTGCCTCTTGCTCGGTGTACTCGGGGTGGAGCACGGACGCTCGGGACTGTCCCGGGGTGGCTCCCGGGCAAGGCCTGTTCCTGTGTTAGCTTATGTCGGTGAGAATACCTGTAAATATTTAGGGGCAGACCTGGATCGAGATCGATGGCAGCTCTTACCTACGTTGCTTTAAATCTGTTATGTGTCCGGACAGGAACACACAAGGTTTCTGGGTCAGAGGACAGACCCATTGTCCATTCACAGTCATCACGGCGCTGGCTCCACGTCCCAACCCTCCCAGGGCGAGGTGGTGGGGGAGCGTGCCCTGGGTGCATGGGCGGAGCCCCGAGTCATGACCCGTGGCGCTTACAGAAGGGGCAGGCACGGCCTCTGCCCTGGGGAGCGGACGGGAGCCCGCAGGTCACAGCCCCGGGGACGTGAACAGAGGTCCCTGCAGCTTCTGCCGGTCTCTGTAACTGTAAAGGCGGGTTTGAAGTCCACCATCCTGTACCCCAGGGGCCAGCGACCCATGCTCAAGGCCCTGACCGCCGAGGGAACATGGAAACGCCCGTGAAATCTGGTTCCCCAGCACGCACGCCCGAGCTGGACGGCTCCGGCCACCAGCTTCGAGTGTCCCCCACGCGCCTGGAACTTCGTGTATCGTGTTGACTCCATGGCGACAGATTTGCCGTCCTCTTTGGTGGACGAGGAAGCTGGGGCTCAGAGAGGTTGAGTGACCGACCAGAGGTTGGCCAGCACATAAGGGCAGGGCTGAGATGGCCCTCGGCCGGGTCCCCTCCTCTCTGCCACCCGGGCCCACCTGGTCACGCGGCTTTGGACGTCGCTCGGTCGCACTGCAGCTTTGAGAAGCCTGTCTGGACATCCATCCACACCTACGGCGTGTGGCGCTGTTGCCACGGTGAAGTGAGGGACCATGGTCCTTGGTCCTTGTGGGCTCCACTGTCCTCCGTGAGAGGTGGGCATTGCCCAGAAAGTCCGAGTTGGTGACAAGGGTGCCAGTGACGGAGGAGCACAGGGCTGACCCAGGCCCAAGGCTCGCCCCGGGCAGGGCGGTTCTGGGTGGGGGGCTGCACTCCAGGGGAAGCGAGGATCGGGGCGAGGGCCCTGGCGGGGAGGCAGGACTTGGCCATGGGGGAGGGGCCTGCTCTTATGCTCAGAGCGCTGGGGAGCCGCAGTGGTCTAAGCAGGAGAGACTCGTTCATGTCACACAGCCAAAGGGTCTCACTGGGTGAAATCCCTTTTCTGCTCTTTCCTGGGGGCTGGGGAGGAAAGGCGGAAAGATACGAGAAAAACAAATTCAGGGAAATGCCAGTTGTTGGTGACAGGGGAGCAGCCAGTACGGCGTGACCATGGAGGAGGGCACGGCCACCCGTGCCCGCCTGGCCTCAGCCCGGGCCCGGGGCGGTTCCAGACGTGTGCAGTGGGGCCATTGCCTGCCATGGCGCTGCAGGAAGGCACGGGCCTCTGCACAGAAGCCGCCACGCCCCATCATTCCCGCTCTAGAGACCAGCTCTGGGGGCCCACGTGCCCGCAAACGTGGTCACAGTCACCAAGTGTGTCTGGGAAGAGAGTGAAGTGCAGGGAATGTGGAGCAATCGCCAGCGGCGGGACTTCAACACTTTGGGGAGACAGATTTCAGGGCGACTTCGGCTGTGGAGCGCAAACAGGAGGCTTCTCGCCGTCCCGTCCCACCAGAGCTGAGATCCTGGGCAGAGCGGGTCTTGGGGCAGGAGGAGGGGTGAGAGGAGCGGGGTGGCTGTGGCTCGAAGGTGAGGAGAGCGCCCCGCACCCTGCAGTCGGGTCTGAGCAGCACTGAGCCTCTGCGCACCTGGGAAGAGGCTTTCGCTGCGAATCTGGACCCTCCTGGGAGACAGCCCTGTGTTATGGGAGCTGGGCACCACCCTGGCTGCCGATGGGCATGGTTAGCCTGTCTAGGGCAGGGAAAGGTCACAGTCGAGGTCACCTTTGACCCATCTCAGGCAGCCGTCACGGGGACCATGGTGGGACCTGGGAAAGGGCACCCGTGGTCTTGTCCACCTACCTTCAAATCCACCCGTTCAGTTCACGGCCAAGTGAGGTTAGGACCCCGTGGGCCACAGGCCCTGCCTCGCGTTCTGGTGGGGCCAGGAGAGGTGCAGAGCGACCCCGGTCCCTTTCTCCGCAGTCCCCGACAGCGTCATCGCGAACGTGCTGAGCCAGCGCCTGAGCAAGCAGGACTGCGTTCAGAAAGGGTGGGTGCTGCACGGCTTCCCTAGGGACCGGGACCAGGCGCACCTGCTGCACAGCCTGGGCCACCAGCCCAACAGGTAAGCGGCTCCGTCCTGGACTCGGCTGGCAGGGGCCGGGGGCAGCTGCCAGCTCACCAGCCGCCGTGTGTCCGAGGTGGCGGGTCTCTCACCCCTTCCCGCCCACCGCCCCGGTCGCCCCGTGAGCTTGGAGGCAAGCTTGGGTTCAAATCCTGCCGACCCAAACTTCCTCATGGACGGACGGACAGCCGTGCCCGGCGGCCTCCCTCCCGCGTGGGGTTGTGCTGCCCAGACTGGGGCTTTCTCCCGCCTCCCGCTGCGTCGCCTGCTGAAACCTCCGTGCTCCGGGACTGGCCTCGGTGTGGGGACGCAGAGTCTCAGCCACACCGCGTAGCCGTGGTGACCACGCCCAGGGGTTGGCCCTGTGTCCCCGGGGTGTGAACGTGGTTGAATGTACTGTTCTTCCTCCGCTCACTCGACCTGGAGGGCACAGTTGTGGCGATTGTGGCGACAAGCGGGGACCACCCACCTGAGAAGGGAAGACGCTCAGTCCCGGGCTCGGGCGAGGGAGGCGCCCCGGGTGGTGTGGCAGAGACTCGGACTCAGAGGCCGGGGAGCGGACAGCGTTCCAGTGGGAAGGGGCTGGGTGTCCTGATGGGGCTGTGGGCCGGGAGCGTGTTGCTGTCCCCTGTGCGTGGCTAGGGTACATTCACGCCAAACTTCCTAAATTCTTGCATGTTTGAGAGTGACGTGTTACTTTATTTGTAAACAAGTAGCAAAGTAAAGAATTCTTTGGGCACGGCCCCCCCCCCCCGTCCCCCCGCAGTTGTTCTGTGCTGCCCTTGGTGCCCCTGGGGTTGCAGGAGTGTCTGAGGTTTCCTGGCAGGACGGTGCCCCCCCGCCGGGATGCCCCCTCCGCCCAGATGGGCGCTGCGCTCTCAGCTCACTAACGCCGCGGGGCCGCGTCTCCGTCTTGGTCCTCTGCACGCCGCTGGGACGTCGTGAGTCCCCTGCACTCACCTGCTGCAGGGGACTTTCCTTCCGGCACATAATTAATATCTCTCTGCTTCATTTACTGGGTGTTCTTACCCAGAAACACCAATTATCTGTTATCTGTTTTCCTAAGTATGACTTTTTTCTAGTAGCTTTTTTCCTTTCCTTTTCTGTATTATTCTCTTGAATCTGTCCTTCATGATAACTTTGTTTTCCATCAAAGTTATTTTTTGTTGTTTCTGATTTGGTTTTCATTTTTATAATGCTTTTGTGTTTCCTGTAGTTTCCCCCCCTAACTCTATCAGCCTTCTCTTATCTCCTTTTTATTTTGTCTCGTCCACCTTTTCTTTCACTCAGCATAATACTCTCCAGGTCCCTCCATGCTGTCTCAAAGGATAAGAGATCTTTCTTTCTCACAGCTGCATAGTACTCCACTGTGTACATGTACCACAGCTTTTCTTTTTTATCCTCACCTGAGGACATTTTTGCATTTATCTTCAGACAGAGCGGGAGGGAGAGAGGGAGGAAGAGAGAGAGAAAAACATCAATGTGAGAGAGACACGTCAACTGGCTGCCACTCACATGACCCCAACCGGGGCTGGGGATGAACTGCAACTGAGGTTTGTGCCTTTAGTGGGAACCGAACCCGAGACTCTCCGGTCTGTGGACCGACACTCTAACCTCTGAGCCAAACTGGCTAGGGCTACCACAGCTTTTTTTTTTTTTTTTTTATCCTCACCCGAGGACATTTTCCCATTTTTTTGGTCAGGTAGAGTGGGAGGGAGAGAGAGGAACAGAGAGAGAGAGAGAGAAACATCGACGTGAAAGGGACACATCGAGTGGCTGCCACCCGCACGACCGACCAGGGCCGGGGACAAACTGCAACCGAGGTACGTGCCCTTAGCGGGAACCGAACCCGGGTCTCTCCGGACCACAGGCCGACGCTCTAACCGCTGAGCCAAACCGGCCAGGGCTACCTACCACAGCTTTTTTATCCACTTGTCTACTGATGGATACTTGGCTGTTTCCAGATCTTAGCTATTGTAAATAGTGCTGCTATGAACATGGGGGTACATATGTTCTTTGTGATCGGTGTTTCAGGCTTCTTAGGGCATATTCCTAGAAGTGGGATCACTGGGTCAAATGGCAGTTCCATTTTTTATTTTTTGAGGAAACACCGTAGTGTTTTCCACAGTGGCTGCACCAGTCTACATTCCCACCAGCAGTGTACCAGAGCCCCCTTTTCTCCACACCCTCACCAGCACTGGTAGTTTGATGATTTGTTGATGGCGGCCATTCTGGCAGGTGGGAGGTGATACCTCATAGTCATTTTAATTTGCATCTCTCTGATGATTAGTGACAAACATTTTTTCATATGTCTCTTGGCCATTTGTATATCTTATTTGGAGAAGTGTCTATTTAGGTCCTCTGCCCATTTTTAAATTGGATTCTTTGTGTTCCTTTTGTTGAGTTGTATGAGCACTCTATATATTTTGGAAATTAACCCCTTATCTGATGTATCGTTGGCAATTATGCTCTCCTGTAGAGTGGGTTGCCTTTCCATTTTGCTTGTTTCTTTTGCTGTGCAGAAGTCATCTTTTCTTTGATCTCTTTTTTTAAGTTTTTATTTCTTTTTTAGAGAGAAAAAGGGAGAGAGAGATAGAAACATCAATGTGAGAGAGAAATATTGATTGGCTGCCTCCTGCACGCCCCCTACTGGGGATCGAGCCCTCAACCCAGGCATGTGCCCTGACTGGGAATGGAACCGGGACCTCTCAGTCCACGGGATGACGCTCAGTCCACGGAGCCACACCGGCCAGACTCTTTTTGATTTCTTATATCAAAGAGTCTGTTCTCTAAATTATTTTGAGCATATCAATAAGACTTTTCTAAAATGTTCTTTAGCTTCCTGAGGTAATTCTTCTTCCAAAGGGTATTCATTCTCTCTCTCTCTCTCTCGTTTGCTTTTTGTTTTTTACTTTGAAGACCCTTTTTAGTAGTGTCCATACTTGAGTCCCAAGATGGATATATTTGCAAACTGCGTGTCTTTGACTAGGTTTGTGGTCCGTCTCAGAGCAGCAGGGGTCGGTGTTAGTGTCCTAGAGCTGCTGTAAGGACCAGAGTCTCGAAGGTCAAACAGCTTCAGCCCTGCAGTTGTGGGGAGAATGGGCTCCTTGCTTTTTCAGCTTCTAAGACTGCCCACAGTCCCGGGTCGTGGCCCCTTTGCTGGCGCCAAGGCCAGTGACACTGCGTGGCCCTTCCTCTCCGGTCACACCTCCCTCGGGCCAGAGCTGGGGAGGTTCTAGGGTTGTAAGGAACCAGGTAGTGAGACAGAGCCCCCCTAGATAGACTGATCATAGCAGCATCCTCAGTGTAACCTCGCCTGCAGAGCCCCTTTGCCGCGTAAAGCAACACAGTCACAGACTCTGGGGTTGGGAGGTGGGCCGTGGGCGGGCACGTTGTTCTGCCCGGTTGGACTCTCCGAAACCCTGTCTTCCTCATACCCCTGGGGTTGGGGCTGGAGAGCCTCCTGCGGAGACGAACGGTCTGCCTTGTTCTGGGGCGGGGCCAGCAGGCAGCCCGAGCACCTGGCCTTCACCCACCTGCCCGCGGGATTCCGGGGCCACGGGGCCCTGAGGCTCGGCTTCCGCCCTGTTTTCTGGTGATGGGTCAGACGGTGGTGCCAGTCGTCAGCTTCTTGTGGGCTCATCCTCCACCTGAAAATAGAAGGCCGGGCGGGACGCCGGCACAGTGGGGGTCTGAGCCCCGAGGGGAAAGCTGCCTGTTTTATTTATTGCCGCTCTGCCCCTTGCCCGTCGCAGCACCCACGGGGAGACAGGTGTGCTCCAAAGCACACAGGAAGGAGCAGTCGAGGGCTCTGATTGGGCAGGCTGCGAGTGAATACTTCTCTGTTCACCGCGGAGTAAAACTGTTTCTAAAGACAGTAAATCATGTCAGGTTTTTTTTATCTTTACTGATTTTAGAGAGAGAGCTAGAAACATGGATGAGAGAGAACATCGATCGGCCGCCTCCTGCATGCCCCCCACCTGGGATCGGGCCCACAACCTGGGCATGTGCCCTGACCGGGAATCGAACCCGAGACCTCTTGGTGCAGGGCCGACGTTCAGCCACTGAGCCACACCGGCTAGGTTCGTGCCAGTTTAATTTCCCTGGCCCTCAGGCAGAGGACAGCAGGGGAAGAGATGTTTGCTTTCCACACAGATGTAATCACGTGCCCGTCTGATCGCCCTTTGGCATTTCTCTGCCATCACCAAGGGCCTTTTCCCTCCTCCTGCCTCGTCTCTGCCGATTCCATTTCCCCAGCTTTGCTTTCCATTACATGTTTCTCTGATTAATTCCGAAAGTAATTTTAGTCGTAAACCTTCAAGTCCAGACATAGGCCGAGGAAGAGAAATACGAGGGCACGAACCCACCTGGCCGTGGCCGAGCGCAGGACGGCGTCGCTCGGCCGCGGTGCCCGCGGTGAGGCGCGCGGGCTGTGCGGCTGCTTTGGCACCGGGGACAGCTCGACAGAGTTATGGCCTGGGAACCAGTCTGGGAGCGCGATGCAGAAATCTATCATTCCGATCTGAAAACCATCCACAAAGGCTCTTTTTTTAAAGGAGGGTTCGAGGAAATGAGATTAAAATAAATTTACATATATATCAATTTTATTATTAAAATATATTCACACCAGTAAATAGAATCATTGGGCAGGGCAGTCTGCCCCGTGCATTGGACACAGAAATAGACCTCTTTGGTTATCAGGAAACAAAGTTATTGTCTCCTTGTCAAATATAAATCTCCTTCGCGCTAATAAAGGGATCGCGTTCTCATACAGTGTTTTGCTTGACTCCCACCTTATAAACCCACGGCACATCACACTAAATTACATCCCGCGGAGCAGTATCAATCTCGTGATCCCAACATCGCACAGAGAGGGAGGCACACCAAGTAATTGATGTGTCGAAAAGCAGGAGGAAAAGTTATTTGAGAACAAATAAAATGGGCTATAAAGTTTGTTAAAACGTAATAATAATAGTAACAAAAACAAAGGAAGACGAGGAAGACGAGGAAAGGAACAAAGAGCTACGCCGGCTGCGCCCAGACAGCTGCCCCCCCCCCACCCGGCTGCTGCAAGTTCGCGGCAGGTCCGTCCTTTCTGAGTGACTTGACCCCAGGGAGGGCGTACAGGGTTCTGACTGATGCTGGGGAGGCGGCAGTGTATCAGGCAGACTCGGTTTCCTGCCTCTGCTCCTGCCCCTCCGCGCTGCAGGGAGGGGCCGGCGGGCCTGGGCCTGGACTCTGCTCCCGGCCTGGGTACAAGGCGGCCGCTGGACCAGTGGCGGCGGAACGCAGCCCACGCAGCCCACGCAGCCGGGTTTGCTCGCGGCGTCTCCTCCACCGGCCTCTGCTGCATCCGGCTACGTGCCGGACCACGAAGAATCTCCCAGGGGCGGTGATCTGGACAAGCGCCTTCGGATCCCAGGTCGTCGTGGGCAAGTTGGAGACGGCTCCGTGTGGCAGTTTTTACATTTTTATGTGCCGTTGTTTTTTAAACTAGACGGTGCGTGTCCCGACCGAAAGTGGTGACAGGTGTCCTCGAACTGCATTGGGCTCCCGGTTGGTGCCCAGTGTGTTGTTGGCCTTTGCTGAACATGCAGCCCTTCCTCCAGGGAGCTGGAGAAGAGAGCCCCGGAGGCCACCAGGCCGGCCAGGTCCACGCCAGCCGGCCCTGCAGGTCCCTGGGCCTGGGAGCCGGGCAGGTTTCCGGGAGGGGTGCTGCCGACAAGCCCTGGGGGGCCCGGCAGGCTGCTTCTGGTGCTGACCAGGGTACCTTCCTCCTCTCCTCCCTGACCTCACCGACAGGCCAGCCTTGTTCCAAGGTGCGTCTCAGGCACCCCCCTTTCCTGGCCCTCCAACCTTCACCTTTAATCGCCATCCTCATCATCCTCCC